GACAATGATGATGATGGTGGTGGTGGTGATGATGATGATGATGATGATAATGATGATGATCATCATCATCATGATGACTAACAGGCTCATATGGAGTTTGTTTTTTTATATTTTTAATTCTTAGACTATTATACTAAAATCATTTAATTAAGAAAAATTTAAGCACTTTAAGGACAGTAACAGTGAAAAGTTTAAACAATCAGTTTTTACAATTAAGAAAGAAAATAATGAATTTTACTAATTTATATAATTCTACATTTCATATCAGCACTCCCTCTTGTAAAATTCAATTCATTTTCAATATCAGCATATTTCCAAGTAAATGTGCAAATAAAAGAAGCTTCATAATATTAGCTTGTTTTACATAACAAGACATTTTTTAACATCTGGCAATTCTCCTTTTTACATTAAAGGAGACTATAAGACCTCAAATGCATTACACTTTATAACCTTTTTTATAAAACAGAAACTGAACAGGATCTACAAAAAAAAATCTAATTAGTGTTAAAATTTGATTTTTCTTATTTTGTATAAATTTTGCAAAATGTGTCTGACTGGTTCCAGTATGCAACATACTGCAGGGAACCTGCATAAAGATTTACTGCATATATCCTGAACCTTCTGATACCAAGCGAAATTCAAAACCTAAAAAAAAAGTAATAAAATGTATAAAATCCAACATCAAACGAAAATTGAAATGCTTAAAAAGTGAAAGCACTTTGCTCTAATTTGAGAAACTTTTAACTACATTAAACATAATGTTCTGTTCTTTTGCAAATTGCTTCATTTTTTTTTCCAGAAATATTGAAATATCTGCTGCAGTTACCCTTAAGGCTAGTATCCTTTTATTTTCCTGACTAACTGCAAATTATATTTACACAAGTCTTCAGAATGTTGACTTAAAAGAGAGAGGAAAATACCCTATTATTTAAAAGAAAAATAATGATTTTCTAATTTTAACAAATGTATACACATAGCATATACTTATTAATATGTTTAACAACACTGCATATTAATTTATCATATTAAATAATCCAGAGACTAGCTATTACTGAAAGAGATATTTGAATTATTACAACACCAACAGTGCCATTCAAAGCACATGTTCAAGTCTTTAAAGCATTCTAGGTATATGTCTTTTCAGGTATAATAACAATTTTGAGGAATTATTTGTGAAATTTACAAGAAAACAACACATATGACATTTTGTAATAATTTCAAAATTTCAAGAAAGTTGTGAATGTAGGCTGTGTCAAAATCAGTGCATGCAATCTCTTTAACCACTCATCATTTAAATTCTCGGAGAAATCCAATTGCAATTATCACATTTTAATTTATCAGCCTTAAAAGAATTAAACTTTATTGCTTCAAGCATTCTTATTCAATAGGCCAGCAAAACAGAATAATACGGCAAAAAATATCTGACATATTCTATGCACCAATTAATGAGTTTAGAATGGCCTAATTTTGTTGTCTGTGGAATGCTTGGAAATATAAAAGCCATTTTTTTAGATGTGTCTGCTGGCACTGGAAGCTGTGTTTATAAAAAGGAAAAAAAATCTCTCTAAATGGATAATCTAACATACATTGTATTAATGATGAGATGAGAATTACACATATTGATTGACGTTACACAGAAAATCTGTAAGTTTAATACAGGAAAAACAATACAGGAGTCTTTTAATGATAAAACACATTTTGAAATTTTGTCTGATTATAAATATATATTTATTTCAGAAAGATTGTTAAGTAGGTTTTTTTTTAATCTTGTACAAATCACTTTGGAGTGTTCTTCCTAAACTAATTAAAATAAAATAAGGAAACTCGGTTGTTATGTAGATAGAGCTCAATCCAACAAACTCTGAGGCTCAAACCCACTTAGTGACTAATTCCGGGGCTCAAACCAAATAACTGGGGCTCAAACCCACTAACTCTGGGGCTCAAACCTACTAACTCTGGGGCTCAAACCCACTTAGTGACTTTAATTCCGGGGCTCAAACCAAATAACTGGTGCTCAAACCCACTAACTCTGGGGCTCAAACCCACTAACTCTGGGGCTCAAACCAACTAACTCTGGGAATCAAACCCACTAATTGTGGGGATCAAACCAACTAACTCTGGGGATCAAACCCACTAACTGTGGAGATCAAACCCAGTAACTCTGGGGCTCAAACCCACTAACTCTGAAGATAAAACTAACTAACACTGGGGCTCAAACCCACTCCTCCTCTGGGTAAATAAGTAAAAACCATAACCATCATGTTATAGTGACTTTCAACTGTTATGAAGGATGAAACTTTCCATGGTAAGTTGGTCTTCACTGACAGATGGCTTCTGAATTCAAATATCTATTTTAAATATATTTATTTTGTATATTTCATTCCCACAATATTACCTTTTTTTATCCCCACAATGTTACCCTAACCTTTTTCTATCCCAATGTTACCTTTATCCTTTCCACATGTTGTATTTACCTATTTTTGACAATTTCTGGGCTAGTAACAGCATTGGGCATTATGTTTTATCTGAACACTAGAGCTTTGGTATAGTGAGGTCACAGGTTTGAGCCTTATCATTTGGACCTTTCCTTGAGCAAACAATTTAATATACATTGCTTCGCTTCACTTGGGTGTAAATGGGTACCGAAGATGGTATATTATTTGATATTGTGGTGACATAATGTGGGCAGCTATAAATAAAACTAATAGATAGATTGTAATAGCCCAATGTCCAGGGGTACAAGCTGAATAAACTTGGGTAGTACTGGAATACTGGTATGCTATGTAAAGTACACTTTCATAACAGTTTCAACTGAATTAAATTACCTTTTTCCACAATAATTTTTCTGGACACTGTTTGAACCTTTAATAAACATTAGCATGGATCTGAAGGCGTATATTGCTTTAAGTGTTGACTGACGTATTTGTGTGGGTAAATTGAAAGACCTAATTACTTGTATCAAATCACAAAGTCAGATTCTTTATGTCCATTTGCCTATAAAACAATAATTAATTTTGAAAATCAAAGTTGCTACATCATAGTTAGTTCTATTGTCTAGTTACTGATTGAGTCTGTAATATAGATTTTGTAATAATTGTCACATCATCAAGTCAAAGCAACTCTAATTTCAATATTTCTCCTATTTAATGATGCAATTTTCGCAATAAAATGGAAGACGATAACCTTTTGAGTCAAACAAATATCATCACAGTTATGTATTTAAATCAATGATTGCATGCTACAAAGTAGTCAGGGATTATGCTTAACCTTTGTCCTTTACAATATTTTAACCTAAAACAATTAATTGATGATTACCCAGATTTAATACCCAGTAAATGAGTGCACTTAACAACCCCACAATCCCATCATCAATCTTGAATTTTTTTTTCAGTTTTGCACAATCATACATTAGTGATGCAGCAGAGCAAAGTATTGTTTGCATCCTTAAAATACCTTTTCTTCAAACAAAAGTGCTAAAACTATCAGTCAACATGTCAAACACATTAAGTATGTTGTATAAATAATTTCTCTCTGCCATCAAACATTGTAATATAACAAATTGATTTAATCCACTAAACAAATTCTGCAGATAAAAACAATCATTTCTACAGCCCTCACTACTCCTCCCCTCTAACACCATATAACATCTTTATCCTCCTAACATCAAAGACAATCTTAATCTATTTTTCTTAATTTGTCTACGACCCTTATCTTGGGGAAACACATAAATACATATAATTCCAAATAAGCTTTATTCTCAAAAACCATCAGTTTTCCGAGGTGAGCTTTTCTTGTCTCGAGTTGTCTGCAAACAAGAGTCTGTATCGCATCATATCTTTTACAAATTGTATCAATCAATGATAATAGAAATCCCTAGTGCTCTTTACACACAAAAATCATATCATATGGTGAGAATGAAATAAAACTTACTTGCTGAAATCCCTGAGAATATCAGCACACCATTCATTAACTACCATCCGAGTATGAAGTTGTTATAATCATTGAGAGCATATGTACCATGTGTCAAAACCGCTTGGAAAAACGATAAAGACTTTTGCCTCCTTTCATTTTTGTTTGTAATTATACCCTTCAATAAGCTCTGTGGAAATGCACACACTTATCAACATACTGTCACAGAATGGGGGGAGAAATATCATAGACTTCCAGTAGAGATAGGTTGTTTTTTTTTTTTCGTTTTATTTCTGTAGACAGCTATATAGCTCTCCTGTGCCCTTATATTTTTTATGCTGTTTAAAAGTTGGCCGAGTTTATTAACTAAAATAATAGGAAACAACAAACAATGTAGAAGCTACATTGATACCCATATTCAAGATTGTATATTTCTTACATATTATGTTACAATATATTTGACATTAATTACATGAACACGATCATGCAATAAAAAGACATATGCTAGTTTTCCAAAGAATTTTTTTCCGCCAAAGATTTTTTAGAAGAAAGAGTCTATTATAAAGTTTTTAACAGGCTGTCAAGTTCTTTTGTCATTGCGATTTCTAAGTTTTTTTTGTTTTGTTTATTTTTTGTTCTTATTTTTTTTTTTTAGAAAGAAATGAAATCAATAAATCAAAACCTGTATATAATTTCATTATTAAAGATCTTAAGTCTAATAATCTGAACATTTGATCACTTGAGTCTGGCTCAAATAGCTTTACTTAAATCATACGTATATAAAATCCCTATACAATAAAACAACCTATTAGCTTTGCATCAATTAGGAATTACGTTCTTCCCTCCTTTTCTAAGTAATCTTGCACTCCTGAAGTGCTTCAAAACTCCTTCATAATTCTGGAAATAAACAGTCTGGAAAATCATATTTAAAGTTAATGCCTTCCTGTAGTAATTAATTACTCAGATTTATAGTCATGTTCCTTTACATTAACTCTACAGTTATCATACCTCATAAAGATTTTTGAGTTTTTTGGTTCTAATCATAGAAATGCCATGGCAAGCTCTTAGTAAAAAAGACGAAAGGTCCTTACATTATCAGAGACATAAATGGGGCTCCGAAGAACGCCTGGCCTTCCGTAAAAGCTGACTTTGGCAGGACTCAAACCTGAGACAACCATGAAATATAAATAATTACAAACTGAAAATCTTAATTCATTCTTGAAATCTATATCTTTGAAATTCTGCACATTTAAATACATAAATAAATGTAGCAAGTATCTATGATTTTAAGGCTGTCCGTAAAAAAATAATTCTTGATACAGAGGCAAGCCATGGTCAAGTTTAAAGCAGCATCAGCAGCTGAGTAAATCAAACAGTTTTGGCAACAAATCTCAAAATGCAACATTGAGATTTATGCAAAAATCAGAAATATGTTTCGGTGCTGAGTTTGGTCAGCAAAGATTTATTTTAGACTACAGTAATCAAGTATTTACTTTGTCGAACATAAAACAAAAGATATGTTGGTATGAACTGCCGAAACTTTCACTCACCTGATGTGTATGTAACTTGCAAAACCTCTTGTCACACACAATGATCTCTGAAATATAAAAATGTCCTTTTTAAAAAGTTATACCTCAACCATATTACAAATTTGACAAATCAAAATACATAATAAATAATTATATTTCCAGTCCGAAAAAAGGACTAATGGTTATGAAAGACAAATGGTTACAAACTGGAAACCTTTTTTCACTCTTGAAATCTATATGTTTGTACAAAGAACATATATTTTGAACATATAATGATAATTTAGATATGAATAAGCTGTTGAAAGCTACAAAAGATTTAAACAAGTCTTAACAATATGGCACCAGTACGAAGAAAGAACAGCCTGCAATTTTTTTCAATGCAACTTTGACCAGACTCTATACTGATACACAATGCAACATCATCATTATCATATCCTATAATTCAAATAATGAGGAAATGTTCTAAAGTTTATTACACAAATTTATAAAGGTAAAGATAATTCTAATTATAGTATTGGGCAACATAAATACATACTAAAATAATGCTAAAAAGATTGCATTGACATGATACTTGCTAAATATTGAAATTAAAATAAGGTAAATTAATAATGGTACACTTGTACATGACTAGACATTTTTACTTATAGAAATAATTATTTTCTACACTTTCATCTCTTAACGAATATAAATAATGTGTAAACCTTGATAAGTTTGCAACATTATATCATATACCAAATAATACAAATTAAAAAGCTTTCATTTATTCTGCAACACAGACTACTAAATCATCTTTTTTCCTCTATTATTTTGTCATCTTTGAGAAGAGATAGTTTACAATCAACATAAAGTGACTTGACATGAAATCATTTTACAAGCAATATGGAGAAACATGATATTACTGATGGCAAGGTTGTTTTTGCGCACAAAACTTGCATTTAAACTTAACAAAAGGGATATAAATCTTTGAAATAATTACCTGAATAGTCACTACTTAACATGGAAATAAATATTCGAATGCAGAGCCATTGCAAATGCAATGTACAAAATGCTACAAAAAACAACAACAAGCTAACAAACCTTGATGAAAAAGGAGTTACCAGACCTTGATGAACAACTATTAAGATCTATCTGACGAGTCTTACATTTAAAGTACCAAAACTAAACCTTTATCCTGTCAAATTTGTATAAATGACCAGTGTCCATCAGCCATAGTTTAAGGTACTAACATTATCAAACTACTAAAAATGAGTAGGTAACAGAGTACAACCCAAGTAAGACTGGATGTGCAGGCTTGATTGTCTATTTGTGGAAATTAAAGGTTTTATAGCTCAAGTTCCGGCATTATAAACATTAGCTGATCTATTTAAGTGCAATAACTATGATTCACCAATCTAAGAATTATAATTCATTGGGCTTCTACTGGTGACCATGAATTTATTACTTGAAAGGAAATTAAAGATGTAGTAAAATCTTAAATGGAAACAATAAAGAAATACAAACAGCTGGATGATTGGCTGAAACCTTGTTGAAAAAATAAAAATTGTCAAATAAAATTTCAATTTATTAAGAATGAAGATTCAACTTATTAAGCAGTAACTTACAAATCCATATGACACATTAATTTAAGTAAATATGTAAAAACATTTAGAACAATACAACTTTTTTATCTGAATTGTTTTCAAATTAATTAATAAGTTAAAGACTAACACAATTTTTTAAATATGCAGAGTAATTATAGTTAAAAATTGAACAAAAATCATTGTATACTTCAGTTGGTTATCATGTACTGAAATTCTAATAAAATAATTTCCTTAGCCTGTTACAGAACTTGCATCTTTTTAAATAATTGTTGAAAAAAAAATTCAGTAAATTTGTGTAACTTAAGTACATCAAAACATCTCAACATGCATAAAACAGCAACATTTTTCCCTTCCTCATCAGAAACAGGGAATTTGTGTAGCATGTTTAACGTATAATTATCATACAATTTGTGCACCATAAAGTATGCACCTTATCCACATAACTCATACTTGCTTTTATTGTTCTTTCAGTGTAAGATCATAAATGACAAGCAGAATTGCAAGAATCTTTGCTTAACTGGTTAATATCAACAGAAAGTAAAGTATGGAGGCCTAACAGGAACATATCTCATACTTGAAATGAATGGAACACAAAGTATGGAGGCCTAACTAAAACATCTCATGCACTGAAATAACTGCAAAACAAAGTATGAAGACATAACTGGAACATATCTTATACATAACTTGAAATAAATGGAACACAAAGTATGGAGGCCTAAAAGAAATATATTTTATGCTTTAAATAATGGAAAACAAACTAGAGAGGCCTAACTGAAACACCCTTATAATTATGGAGGCATTAGGGAGGCATTACAAGTTTAAATAAAACAGATATTAGAAAAAAAAGATTGTGAAATATGGTGTTCCAGTTGTTACCTTTAGAAGAATTAGAAATACAAAGACTTATAGAAATATAAGTATGGTGAACAAGCATGGACATAAAATTATGAGCCATTGCCAATAGATCTAAAAAAATAATTTTTTATCATGTCAACAAACATCATAATAAATATATCTGTATGTGTCAAAGTATTGAGAGTATTTACATGCCAATATAATCATGTGCACACAAAAATATCATAATCTTGAAATTGGACAAAAAGACATCAAACCTTAACTTCTCATTAAACTTATAAATGTTTGTCTTATGTTATTTTGCAATAAAAACGAGAGAAGAATAACATTAGAAATATTGTCAAGGTGTCAACTGCATCAACATATATTAAATGATTCTTAACAAAAACAGTGCGAAAATCTGTCATGCTTGTTACAATTTGATGTGCGCTAAGTATAATACATCTAGGCAATTATTTATCTCTGTATACTTCAAATTACTGTTAACATAATCTTACATGTAGCAAAAAAATTATCACGCAAATAATAAATTAACTAGGGAAAATGTAACGAAACAATTAGCAAAATGTGATTCATACTTTTTCGACACACGTGTAAACCTAATAAAAAGAAATGTGCTGGTCTTTTATTGTTATGAATGCTGTTTTTTCCCTCCTCTCACCAAGTATAGATCCAAGATGAGAAATTGACTGTTGAAACATCTAGAGCATAAGAGATTGTTTTAATGTGTAGTCAGATCATCTTAAGATATGTATCAATAAGTTATTGCATAAATTTCATCATTTATGTTTGAAACTGGTTTATTTTCTAAATGAAATCGTGTATATAATACAATGCAGAGACCCCTGGTTCGAGTCCCAGCTGCGACATGCCGATTTTGTGTGTGATTTTTCTGTGTATATATATATATTACATTAAACTGAGGCATTTATTTATCATGTTAAAGTAATTGTTCAATCAACAAATCATCACTGTCCATTGATACATGTGCCATTGATATCCTACTGAAAATAACAAAATATTGTTTCGTTAAATAATCTAACAGTTTAAAACTTGAAATAAATAAATATACTGAGACTTATTGTCCTTTTCATATAAATTTTTGCCAGTGTTAATTAATACAATTCTAGTCTTTTAATTACTGCTAAATACATGAATTGCCATTTCCTTCATTTAAAATTTGAAAATTCTGTTCTTCAAAATAATTCAAAAATGTTTTTCGATACTTGACATCTCTGGTATTTTGTTACACATTTTTGTATGATATACAGTCAAATTATCATCTTACATCTATTTTGTAAATGCACATTCACGATAAGAATCTTGAGAAAATAAATAAATAATGGAATAATTCAGAAGCTTCATGCATAGAAATACATTAGAGGGCTTTCCCTCTTGTGATGTTAAATTAAAGAGAAATAATAATAGAAACAAGTAACTTACACTTGAAATATTTTTGATTTTTTTTTTAAAATGGCATGAGATAGTTACAATGGGCCAAAAATGGCATGAGGTAGTTACAATGGGCCAGTCTAGTTTTACAGTTTTTATATTGGGTCATATTCACTTTATCATTAAGAACATAAGGGGATTAATGCACCTTATTTTTTGCAAAAACATCTGCAGAATGCACAAAGTTGCATTTAAAGCCCAAGCCCACAGGGCAAAGGATTAAAGACATCTGAGGGCTTCTGCAGATGTTAATGTTTGAAAAAAAAGTGGAATCTCTGTTCATGCATATAAGTATATGTCTAATTTTGGTAATTCCATGTTGCGCTTTTTGAAAAAGAAATTGATTCAAATGTTAGTGCAGTGTCATTTGAAAGTATTGAAAATAAATGCTACCTGGGCTATCATTGCAGTCAACTATTTCCACATTGCACCCAGAGTTTAAATATGCATAATCAAAATTGTGCAACAATAGTGCATGGTTTTAGTGATTTTATCCATCAATTCCTGTTTTCATCTACCTTAAAGTATACCAACCAGCATGTGCAGTTTTAATGCCTCTCCATATAAATCCTAAAAATCATAAATCAATTAAAGTGACAGCTCTATATATCTATTCTGTATTGTGTTCTCCATTTAATTATGTTTGTAATTTTTGTCTCAATTTTTTTTTGCTTGGCATTTAGTTTATGATGAGAGGAGTGACAAAACCTTAACAAATGGAATTCCACTTACCTAGCTTTCTTTGCAGGTTATAGGACCATTATTGACAATCATTAGAACATTAAACCACAGAATTATATCAGTTGGCCTTTTAACAGATTAAGACAGAAACTATTTTGATTGAAACAAACATTATAAATTAACAAAGAGACCTTAATCAGATATTTGATAATGATGATATGATGAAAATGATCATAATGATATGATGAAGATATGATGATAATGATATGATGGCAACAATATGATGATAATGATGACACTGATATGATAATGATAATAATGATATGATGATAATGATAATAATGATGATGGTAATGATATGATGGTAATTATATGATGATAATGATATGATGATAATGATTCTCACAATGATGATGATAATGTTTATGATGATGATTATGACAAAAACAACTAGAACTCCGCAAGTCGGATGTGTCGCCTTGTGAACAATATAGTTTAGG